ATTTTTTTTTTTTTTTTTTCTTTATTATTATAGGGTATAAATTATATATAAATGTATAGATTTTTTTGCTGCATTTATTGCTGCTGTTGCTGCTGTTGCTGCTGTTGCTGTTGCATGCATGCATGCATGCATGCAGGAGAAGCCATCAATAGCTGTATATCTTGGTGGATCTACAGAAGAAATAAAAGGAAGTTTATCTGCAGATATAATTCCTTGGCTAAATAAATATAATTTAATTAAATTAAATATTGATTTACCTCTTTCTCCTCTTATTGCTACTCTTACTCCTAGTGAATTAGTAAGCAAGCTCTCCTTCCTCTTCCTGCTGCTGCTCTTGCTGCTGCTGCTGCTGCTGCTGCTGCTGCTGTTTGCTGCATAATCATCATTTTTGCTGCTATTTTAATGCCTCTTTTTGCCAATTAAATAAAAAAAAAAAAAGAATAAATAAAATAAATAAATAAATAAATAAATATATATATATATATTTATATATTCAGGTATTAGTACGTACAGCAAGTATAGTATGTATATTTATACTAAAGTATCAATTAATAAATAGGATAGAATTTATATTAGATACAGCAATAAAAGAAAAACATATAAATATAATTAATAAAATTAATTTATTATTAATAAAAGAACATAAATTTATTCATAAATATAAAGATATTGCTAATCAGGTATGTTATTTATTTATATATTTATATATTTATTTATTTTATTTATTTATCTACTCTCCTTCCCTCCCTCTCCTCTCCTTCTATGTGTCTCTCCTCTCCCTCCCTCTCCTTATCTATCTTTCTCCTCTCCTTCTGTCTCCCTCTATATGTCTCCTCTCCCTCCGTCCCTCTCCCTGTATATAGTCTCTCTTGTATGTCTTATACAACATATACAATAAATAAATAATACATAATATAATATCTTCCCTATTCCCTTTCCCTTCCCTCTCCCTCCCCTCTTCCTCTTCCTCCTCCTCCTCCAACTCTTACTCCTATTGCTGCTGCTGTTGCTGCTGCTGCTGCTGCTGCTGTTGCTGCTGCTGCTGCTGCAGTTGGATATATCTGAATTGGAGTTATTATTTGTGAATATCCAGAGTGGTAAGAAGTTTGATCTTCGTGTATCTTCTTCTTCTTCTTCTTCTTCTTTTCTTTATCAACAAGAAGGTACTATTATTATTTCTTTAGGTATTAAATATAAAGAATTTAATGCTGCTATATGCAGAACATTTATACTTAATGGTACAAAGGTAGGTAATACTATACCACCAGCAGCAGCAGCAGCAGCAGCAGCAGCAGCAGCAGTAGTAGTAGTAGTAGTAGTAGTAGTAGGAGGAGGAGGAGGAGGAGGAGGAGGAGTAGGTCATGTAGCAGCAGCAAGAGCAGCAGAAACAGAGTTAATACAACAGCAGCAACAGCAGAAGCAGAAACAGCAACAGCAACAGCAGCAGCAGCAGCAGCAGCAGCAGCAGGAAGAGTGTGTGTTGTGTGTGTGTGTGTGTGTGTGTGTGTTTGTTTGTTGTATACAGGAACATAAGGAGGCATACTTAGCTGCATTAGATATACAAAAAAAGATAATAAATATAATAAAGGAAGGAATAACATTTGCTGATGTATATAAAGAAATAAATATATATATTAATAATAAATATCCTCAGCTGTCTGTACACCTCAATAAACATGTTGGTCATGCTATTGGTCCTTTCTTTAGGGATCCTCTACTTACATTCAATAATAAAGGAGATAAGTATGTTATTTTTTCTCCTGCTGCTCCTGCTGCTCCTGCTGCTGCTGCTCCTGCTGCTGCTGCTGCTGTTTGCTGCTGCTGCTGTTTGCTGGTGGTGGTGGTGGTGGGGATGTGATGGTGTGCTGCTGTTGCTGTTGTTGCTTCCTTGCATACATATAGATTCTTTCCTTTATATTAATAAATATATGTATATATATTTATTTATTTATATTTATTTATTTATTTATTTATTTTAAATAAATATTATTTATTTATTTATAGGGTATTTATAGAGAAAGAAATGGCATTCTTTGTGAGTGTTGGATTGAATGATCTAACAACAAAGGAAGGAAAACCTTTTGCTCTATGGATAGCAGATACTGTATATCTAAATAAGGATGGTACTATACAGAGTAAGCAAGGAAAAAGAGGGAGGGAGGGAGGAGGGAGGGGTGGAGAGAAGGGAGGGAGAGAGGGAGAGGGAGAGGAGAGGAGAGGAAGAAGGGAGGGAGAATTGTTGTTGGTGGATATGTATCTGCTGCTGTTGCTTCTGTTGCTGCTGTTGCTGCTGCTGCTGTGTTAGTGATAGTTAGTTTGCATGCAGAAGAAGCAAAAGAATCAATGCATGCAACTTAGTGCATGCATGCATTGTTGCATGCAAAAATGGGGCTGCATGCGTTTTTTTTTTTCTGTAGATTTAACGGAGGGTCTTTCTTCTGAATTAGCATATATTAATTATGAATTAGATGAAGGAGAAGAAGAAGAACAGCAAGCAGGAGCAGGAGCAGGAGGAGGAGGAGGAGGAGGAGGAGGAGGAG